CTCCACCGAGCACCCCACCATGCCATGGGGACCCCAGGGACTCACATTCATTGTCCCCACCCGGAGGGTGGTAGAAGGAGAGGCCCAAGGAGATTATGGCTGCGATTTCCAAGATGATCAGCGTGACGTCCTGGAGTGCCTCCCACACTAACTGCAGGAACGTCTTGGCCTTTTTGGGAGGAATGAAGTTCTGGCCGAAGACCTGCCGCCTCTTCTCCAGGTCGGTCGGGTTCCCAGACAGACCTGGAGAGGTGAAAGATGGTGATGAGGGCAAACCCCACCGCTGCCCCCCACCAGCACCAGTGGGACCCCCGTAAGGAGCAGCCCCACGCCTGCACGAGGGGCACGAGGTGCAGGCAGAGGGGAGGCAAGGCTGGGCTTTGCTCCCATCACCCACGGGGCAGGGGACATCCAGCCGGTGGGGCAGCCCGGCCGCCCCTCCCTGGTGCTGCAGCCTTGCAAAGCGCCCGAGTGCCAGTTAATGCCAGTTGGCACTGGCCAGCTTGTTTACCGGCCAGGCCAGCTCCTGGGGGGGGGTGGTGGAGGAGACACAGGGCTGCTCCTGCTGCTGACAAAAGGAAGGTGGGAGCCAGGAAAGGGGCGTTAAAGCCATTAAAAAGCTGATGGGGTCCAAGGTGAGAGCAGCCTCCCCTGCCCAGCAAGACCTTAACCCAGCCCCATGCTGAGCCCCCCGGCTCTCCACCTTAAGATGGCCCATGGGGCTGCTGCCAGCTCCCAGATGCACCCGGCAGCACCCAGCAGGCGGCTGTAACCCCCCCTGGACACAGACACCCCCCGGTGCCTGGAGCAGCCTGGCAGCGATGGTCTCCCCTGGGGACCGAGCGCTCCCTCCCACTCAGGGGTCAGCTCCCCACCAGCTCGGCTGCATCCCAGATGGAGGAAGGAGCAGGATGAATCCCGTTGGTCCCCCCCACATCCCCCTTTCTGCTGCGACTACGCCCCGCGGCTGCAGCGTGGGGATGCGCTGGCAGAGCAGCCCAGGCACACCCAGCCGTGACGGGGCAGCAGGATCCCGGGATCTCCTGGCCCCGACGGCCTCCCGGAGCCCAACCCATGCGGGAACGCTTCCTGCCCAATGTCTCCAACGGGATGGATGGAAAATATGGCTAAGCGCCACGGCTTGACTCACACCGGCGCCAGGGCCAGGGCGGCACGGCGTGCGCCGCGGGCACAGACACGCTCCCGCACGAGGATGCGGGATGCTGCCATGGGGCAGGGGAGGTTGCACATGTGGCTCCTCCAAAGCCCGTGTCCCAGCCATGGATGTGGCCCTAGAGCTGCCCCCCACCCTCCAGGGGCAATTAGGGAGGAGTGGGGGCTTTCAATTAATCTGTGCTGACACAGGGAGGGTTGCAAAGAGCAGAAGCCGTGGGCACGCACTCCAGGCACACACTGTGGGTCCAGGCTTCCAGAAAATCCCTCCTGGCAGGGGCCACTGCAGGGCCAGGAGGGGACTGATTAGCGGGGGAGTGGATCGGAAATTTTGGCTGGAGGCCACAAGTGACAGCAGGAGAACAAAACCCCTGTGCAGTCACTGGTCCCTGATGAGAGGGGAGGCGCTGCCTCCCGGGAAAGCTGCTTTTGGGTAGCAAGGCCTTCACGCAAGGAGCCCCCGGAGCAGGTTCCTCGCCCTGGCACCCGGAGCTGCTACTGCCAGCGGGAGAGTCAGGGCGGTGTTTGCTGACACTCGTCACCCAGGGGAGACCGGGCAGGGAGACACTCTAACGGGTGACTCACGGAAGCTGCCTGTGCTTCGCCGCCACCACCCCGGTCCCCTTCCCACCCTGCCCGACCCAGCTCGGGGATGGGGCTGATGGAGGGGGTGGAAAGCCAGCACCCATCACCAAGCCACCCCATCACCAAGTCCCTTTAGAAGGAGCCCTAAGGGGTTGGGTTCCACCAAAACCTTTTAGAGCAACAGCCAGAGGAGCAGGTCCCAGCGGCCCCCCCCACCGATGCTGACCAGACGCTCCCTGCACAAACACTAGTGCAGAGAGATCCCCCCCTACGGGGACAAGCCACCCACGGGAGGGCACAGTGCCAGGCTCGACCGAGGACAGGCAACGCTGCAGCGGGGAGAGAGGAGCAGCAGCACCAAGGGGCAGGGGCCACGCACACCCAGATAGGATCAAACCTCTCCGGACAGCCCACAACAGGCTGCTGCATTTTACAGCGGGGCAGGAGGTCCGGGGGACAACCCGGGCAGGCTCTGGTGTGCCAGCAGCCTCCTCCCAGTGACACCCAGCAAGAGCACAGGGCCACGTGCTCCCTGCCTGCACGGGGGCAGGAGCTGTGCACCATCCCGGCAGGATAACGAGCAGATGGATAATGAGCACGGGGTTGCCTATTGCGATGTGGAGCTGGGATATGCAGCCAGTGCCCGCACACACAGCGGTGCCCTGTCTCACACCCATGGGTCCGGTGAAGCTCCCAAGCTTTGGCCAGGCAGCACCAGCTTGGGAGGGGTTTGCAGGCAGAGGGGGGCTCAGGTCAAGACTGAGTCAGCCCCAGCTCTCCGCAAAGGGCTTCCCAGAGGGAAAAAGCCCCGCACCACACATGCCAAGACATAGCAGGCATTCCCCTGGTTGCATATCTTTCACTAAACCCCAGCTGGGCCATCCCACCCGCAAACACCTCCTGAGCTTGCCTGTGCTGCACTCCCCGGCGCGAGCAGCCGCCCGAGGACCCCACTCCCCGTTTCCCAGGCTTTGCCTGTGGATGTGTTGAGGCAGGGGATGCGCTCCTGGCTTGTAGCTTCCCGACCTGCCGGGGTTTCCCTCGTTGTGGCCCTGTGGCAGTGTCATGCCATGTATGGGGCTGTTGGGTTGGCGCCCGTGGAGGGGCAGCCCTGGCATGGCAGGAGCCAAATGCCCCACTCCGGTGGGATCGGACCAAAGCACCCCAGGCTGCCTTGGGCTTTCGCTCTTCCTAAAAATCCCGACTTGTAGGAAATAACTTTCCTTTGCTCTCTGTGCTCAGCAGGACAGGGTTTGGGACAGGCAGCAAAGCTCACCTCCGGAGCAGGAGGGTGAGGCAAGGATGCGCTGGGGGCACGGGATGCAGCGATGCCAGCCGGCGCCTGGAAGCAACGCGCAG